CCACAGCGCGGACCGGTTTTCTGCTCTGCCGCAAGAGCAAGACGTCACATTCAGCAGGGTTGTGAGGGATATGTCGCGTATTTCATGGATACCCGGGATAAGGGTAAGGCGACAGTTGATGATGTACCGGTGGTACGAGAGTATCCGGACGTATTCCCGGAGGATTTGCCTGGGATACCTCCGGAGAGACAGGTTGAGTTCCAGATTGACCTGGTCCATGGTGCGGCTCTGATAGCCAAGGCACCATATCGGCTGGCTCCTCCAGAGATGCAGGAGTTGTCTACGCAGCTGCAGGAGCTGCTAGACAAGGGTTTTATCAGGCCGAGATGTTCGCCATGGGGAGCCCCGATCCTGTTTGTAAAGAAGAAGGACGGGTCGCATCGCATGTGTATAGATTACCGGGAGCTGAATAAGGTGACGGTGAAGAACCGTTACCCACTCCCGAGGATAGATGATTTGTTCGATCAACTTCAGGGAGCATCTTGGTTCTCCAAGATCGATCTACGGTCCGGTTATCACCAGGTGCGGGTCAGAGATGATGATGTGCAGAAGACCGCTTTTAGGACCTGCTATGGTCATTATGAGTTTATGGTGATGCCGTTTGGGCTCACCAACGCTCCAGCCGCGTTCATGGATCTCATGAACCACGTGTGAAGGCCGATGCTGGACCGGTCTGTGATAGTATTCATTGATGACATCTTGGTGTATTCCAAGACTCAGGAGCAGTGATGATATATGGTCCACTAGCATAGCCTAGACAGCTCCGGCACGCCAGCCTCGCCTGGCGCTCCCTTGCCAGCCTTGCTGGGGACTCTCCCGCCGGCCCGGCCTGGCTTTCCCTTGCCAGCCCTGCTGGGGACTAGCCTGGCGCTCCCTGGCTTGGCGCTCCCTTGCCAACCTTTCCTGGTGCGCGCCCGCCAGCCTTGCCTGGTGCGCGCCCGCCAGCCTAGCCCGGCGCCTCCGGGCGGCCTCGCCCAGCTCCTTGCTAGCTGGGCCTGAATTGGGCTGGCCCAAGGCCTGACCTAATTGTCCCCTATATAATGAACAGTACCTCCTCCATGGAGGGGGACTCTCTCCCAAGTGGTTCAGCCGCCACTAGATCTTCCCCTTGGCTCAGCCGCCACTATACTCCGGCAGGGTGGCTCAGCCGCCACCCGCCGCCATACACCACCACCAGCACCAGGATGGTCCTCTCCAGCTATGGAGGACCATCTCAGATCTTTTAGCTGATCTAACTTGACCGTCGGAGCCCGCTCCCGGGGCACAGTCCCTGGGGCGGCTCTAACGGGTTTGCACTGTGATATCTAAATCTCCGCCGCAGCAGAAGACCAGAAGACCCGTCAGAGACGGATGTCGCATCATTTGGCGCCATCCCGGACTTGAACAAGCAGCCATCACCTTGTTCTTCCTAGATCTGTTCAGATCTGTTGAGTTCCACATCAGGTTTTCTCAGATCTGTCCATTTCTTATCCTTCATTTGATCAGATCCTTTCAGATCTGATTAGCTATCTTTTAGAACTCTTGATCTGATGTGTTTTCATTCAGATCCATAGATCTACTTCATTTTTAACTCAGATCTCCTGATCTACTTAGTGTTTTTGTTCAGATCTATGGATTTGCTTTGTTTCTTAGACCAGATCTTTGGATCTGTTCTAGTTTGGTTCATTCAAAAGATTTTTCGATTTACAAAGGCATTTCAGATCAGTTTCGTTTTTCTTTTCAGTGACCCATTCAGTAAATTGGGGAGGAAAGAAATTTTAACAAGTTTATACTTTTATCAAGTTCATATTATTAGAAAATCGTTTTTTAGTTAAGATTCTTTTGTGTATAACCTTACTCCCAGCAACATTTGTTTGTAAACAAAGCTGGGATGCTTGTACATTTCACAAAATCGAGTTCTTACTCACCTTTGTTCATATTTCTGGTGTTTTCCCTTACAAGCTTAAAGAAGGAAAACGAAATTTTTTACAGATCTGCCCTTGCTCACATCTTGATACTGTTGAGCAAGCCGAAGAAGAAAAGAAAGTTTTTGAGAGAAAAAAAGAGATTCATTTTTGTTTATGTTTTGTTGTCTTTCTAGAAAGTTGAGTAGAAAAGAAATTTTTATGAGTTTTTATCCAATCTCAGTCATTTTCTGTGAGCATCTTCACTCCCACTGCAACAACAATTTGTACACACAACCATATGGCTTGTACATTTTACAGAATCTTCAAAAAAAAAGGGAGGAGAAGCTTTAATTGGGTCTTAACCCACTTTCAGTCAATGTATTCTTCAGTAATGAATTTATATGTACAAGTTTGTTTAAAGTTGTGTACATCTCAAAACCCATCAGAAAAATTTGACTTCAAAAATTACCTTTACCCCCATAGTTTTACCATTTTAATTAATGGTTATCAAAAAAAGAAAAAAAAAGGGGGGGAAGGGAATAGAAGTATTCAGTGCATACGAGCTTTCAAGACCTTATCAGACATGTTTTGTTTATGCTTTGGGTTTGTCCAAGTTTGTGGGAAAGAAATTTGTTTGAGTAAAAAAAAACATATGAAATTTATCTTTACCCAATAGTTTACCATCTTTATTTAGTGGTTCTCAAAGAAAGAGAAAAAAAAAGTTATCATGACTTACAGTTTCCTGGTTAGTCAAAATATAAAAAAGGAAAAAAAAGGGTGTAAGGATGAATAGAAAGTAACCAATATAAACGAAGGGAAAAAGAGACAGTATACAAAAATGGTGATTCATTTTCACATCAACACAAAGAAAAAACCAGATACAACAGTCGTATGGTTCTTTGTCGTTACATAGCCGACAAAGCCAAAAAAAAAGAGGAAAAAAGAAGGGGGTAATCAGGTGGTGGTGTACCGTGTAGTCACGAGATAGACAATCAAGAAGCAAAAGCATCCTCAGTGGGACCCATCTATTCCACTTCTCCATACACAAAAAAGTCAAAAGTAAAGTCGGGCCCCACCTGTTTCTTTCTCCAAATCAAGACCGGTCTCCAGCTCTCTCGAGCCATCAACCGGCGATCTCAAACCTCGATAAAACACTTCCTATGGCTAGAATCGAATGTTGCTCCCGGTCGTCCCCGAGCTACAACGAAGCATCTCCAATGGCCATCGCTCCTCAGCCCTGGGAAACCCCAACCACCATGTCCATCTCTTCCAACCGACGAATTTTCTTCAATTGCCACCACCACAGACCCAGAAGCAGCAGTGACCATCGAATCAGCATCGCCATTGGCCAGGCCTTCAACCGGAGACGGATTCCTTCGAACCTCACCAAACCATTGCTGGTCGCTTGTATCGCCGCCATCACCGCTGCACCATCGCCTGTTGACCTAGCTAATCAGCGCCGCCAGCGACGAACCACAGCACCACCGGACTACCTGTTGACTCCAGCCGATAATAATCCCAACATTGGTTACAGACAGTGCCACCGTCCGTTGCTACCTTGATCACCGCTAATCATTGCCGACTCCGACAACACATCTCCAGCAGAGCCCGCCGGAGAAGTAAAGCCAAACAATTGTTGGGTCTGTGATTCCTCGACCTGATCCAGAGCACCACCCAAAGCACCTCCGGCCGCCAATTATCGCCAACGGGCACAACAAACCAGTGTCTCCGTTGGAGCTCACCACCCCCGACCTCTATGTACAAGCGACGAGTCCTGAGAGAAACCAAAAATCGCCACCTGCACGTCCATTGTGTGTTTTCTTCTTAAGCGTGAAATTGAAGAAGAGGCCAGTTATCCCCTTTTCAAACCCGATAAAAAACGGGATGGGCCATGTGTGCCCTATTTACCAAATCAGCCCACCACAACAAAAAAAAAAAGATTTGGGCCTAAGGACTGAAATATTATTTTGGGCTCCAGGAAGCTTGCTGGGTCTCCCTAAAATCATTTTTCAATGCTGAGGGGCTAGCCCAACAACTAAAATGAATATTTTTTGCAAGATAAATTTTAATGATCAGCCCCAGTACCCACTTGTTGAGATCCCGCCCAACAAAATCCGACATAAGAAGATACGTTACAACCTAGTTCACTCACCATTTTCAAAAAAAAAAAAAGAGAATGAAGGGAAGGGAAGAGTAGTACGCTACTACTACTAGTGAAGCATTTCGAAATAGCCATCAGCAACTGCGATGCGCGGCTATCAGCAGCCGTGTTGACCAATCCCGGGAAGTCGCTAATCAACTCTCACATTCATGTTGACCGGCCCCCGCTAGTCTTACTGCCCAGCTCTTAGTAGTCGCACAGCTCGACCTTCAGCAGCGACACGACCTAGCTCAGCAGCTGCAAAGCCCAGCCATCAGCAGCTACTTTGTGTGACTCCCAGCAGTTGCGCTGCTTAGCTCTCGGCAGCCGTGCTATCTGCTTTTTGTTAGCACTTGCGTCGCCTAGCTTTCCAGCAGCTATGTATCTCAACTTTCAGCAGTTGTACATTTATATTTCCCTTTTCTTCGCCCCCTCTAAGGAAAAAAGGGGGGAGTAGGGTCGGTACGACACCATGCATAAGTGATTCCGAAGGGGCAGAGTTAAAGTACATGAAGGGCTGATGTTATGCATGACAGTGCACTCTCGAGGTGATATTAATATTCCGAGTCGGAAGATCAGCCCCGCTGTTCAACCCTCGGTAGTCTCGTTGCCCAGATCTCAGTGTTCATGCTGCTCATCTATTGCTAGCAACTCGATGCTCAGTTCTCAGCGACCCTGCTGACCAGTTCCTGACGGCGGTCTCGCTACGCACCACCTGACGGTAGCTACACTATCCAGCTCTAAGTAGCATCTCTGCATAGCCCTCGATAAACAGTCAAGACACCGAGGCATCAATTATTAGTACGATTAGCGATGCAGCAAAGCATCAGGTACCATTCCACTTTAACCCAAACTGATCACACGAGCTAGACGCATAGATTGTGGGGTGCTACGCCCAATCATGCGAGGTTCAGTACCCTCGCCTCGAGTCGCCTGGCTTCTCAGCCCGACTCCATTATAGCGGCAAGATCCGCATGCGAGGTTCAGTACCCTCGCCACGAGTCGCCTGGCTTCTCAGCCCGACTCCATTATACCGGCAAGCTCCGCATGTGAGGTTCAGTACCCTCGCCTCGAGTCGCCTGACTTCTCAACCCGGCTCCATTATAGCGGCAAGCTCCGCATGCGAGGTTCAGTACCCTCGCCTCGAGTCGCCCGGCTTCTCATCCCGACTCCATTATAGCGGCAAGCTCCGCATGCGAGGCTCAGTACCCTCGCCTTGAGTCGCCTGGCTTCTCAGCCCGACTCCATTATAGCGGCAAGCTCCGCATGCGAAGTTCAGTACCCTTGCCACGAGTCGCCTGGCTTCTCAGCCCGACTCCATTATACCGGCAAGCTCCGCGTGTGAGGTTTAGTACCCTCGCCTCGAGTCGCCTGGCTTCTCAGCCTGGCTCCATTATAGCGGCAAGCTCCGCATTCGAGGTTCAGTACCCTCGCCTCGAGTCGCCCGGCTTCTCAGCCCGACTCCATTATAGCGGCAAGCTCCGCATGCGAGGTTCAGTACCCTCGCCTCGAGTCGCCTGGCTTTTCAGCCCGACTCCATTATAGCGGCAAGCTCCGCATGCGAGGTTCAGTACCCTCGCCTCGAGTCGCCTGGCTTCTCAGCCCGACTCCATTATAGCAACATGCTCCGACCATTCCACGCGATGCTCGTCCGCATGATTTATCTACGATCGCTGGCAGCCAAACCCGATCTTTTACATGCGATGCTTTCCCGCATGACATCTCCATGTTCGCTGGCTACTAAGCCCGAGCTATTCTCCTAAGTCGCGCAACATAAGTCGCACATCACAAGCTCTCGGTGTTTCCTCTCTCACAGTCATCATGGTGCTCTTGTGCTCGGACGATCGATGAAGTGTTATCCACATTACATCCTGATATAGCGAGGATACTCTCCAGTAAGAAGGTCATCCCGACAGCGGCCCTGCTACCTACGACCCCACAACATCTCTGTTTCCTGGCTCTCGGAAACAGTCTTGTTGCGTAACCCTACCTGTAGCCTCGCCGCGAACCCCACAACACCTCTGTTTCTTGTCCCTCGGAAATGGTCTCGTTGTGCAACCCTACTTGTAGCCTCGCCGCATACCCCACAACACTATTTCCTGGCTCTCGGAAATGGTTTCGCTGTGCAACCCTACCTGGCCTCACCGCTTATCCCTTAGCACCTCTGCTGCCTGGCTCTCGGCAACAGTCTCACTGCACGTTTCCTACCTATAGCCTCACTACCTGTTCCTCAAGAATTCTGTTGTCTGGCTATCGACAATAGTCTTACTACGTGACCCTCGCTAGCAATCGCCCAGCTCTCGGAATCTCTGCCACTTATATTATGGTTAACCACCTTACGGTTTATTGGTTTGACAACAAAGTCTGACACGGCTACCTACGCTACCCACATCAGACTGGGGGGAATCCAGCCAGGTGTAGCCCGAGCAAGAAAGATCCTCAGGACGGTTATTAATGCAGACTATGTAGATGGTTATTGGTGACATCCCATCTCGCATGGCTACCACAACAATCACGTCGGATAACAGTCTCAGGGACTGAATGGCAAGCTTACGCTTTTTACCTACCCGACCCGACATCTTATCGACATCAGTGTCGTGTAACACTTTTTAGCAGCCTCAATCCGCATGATCACAACAACAGTTACATTGCATCTTACCGATCAGATCGCACTCCTCTCAAGAAAGGAGTATCAAGTCATCTCAAGCTGCATAAGCAATGTTTGGCTCGTCGCACAACCCCACGGCTCTCGTGGGCGAGGTTCGGTCATTTCTCTTTATTATTTAAATGCTTTGGTGCTTTATCTAGTTCGATCCGATTGTCAGTAACCCAATCGCATCAGACTAGGGGGACTTGACGACGCACAGTTTATATGACTAGTTCCAGTCCGATGTCATTGGCCGTGTACCAATAACACCAGACTGGGGGGACTTGATGATATATGGTCCACTAGCATGGCCCAGACTGCTTTAGCGCGCCAGCCTGGCCTGGCGCGCTCCTGCTAACCTTATCGAGGACTCCCTTGCCAGCCTCGCTGGGGACTCTCCTGTTGGTTTATCCGACTAAGTCCAGTCCGATGTCATTGGCCGCGTACCAATAACACCAGACTAGGGGGACTTGATGATATATGGTCCACTAGCATGGCCTAGACAGCTCCGGCACGCCAGCCTCGCCTGGCGCTCCCTTGCCAGCCTTGCTGGGGACTCTCCCGCCGGCCCGGCCTGGCTCTCCCTTGCCAGCCCTGCTGGGGACTAGCCTGGCGCTCCCTAGCCTGGCGCTCCCTGGCTTGGCGCTCCCTTGCCAACCTTTCCTGGTGCGCGCCCGCCAGCCTTGCCTGGTGCGCGCCCGGCGCCTCCGGGCGGCCTCACCCAGCTCCTTGCTAGCTGGGCCTGAATTGGGTTGGCCCAAGGCCTGACCTAATTGTCCCCTATATAATGAACAGTACCTCCTCCATGGAGGGGGACTCTCTCCCAAGTGGTTCAGCCGCCACTAGATCTTCCCCTTGGCTCAGCCGCCACTATACTCCGACAGGGTGGCTCAGCCGCCACCCGCCGCCATACACCACCACCAGCACCAAGATGGTCCTCTCCAGCTATGGAGGACCATCTAAGATCTTCTAGCTGATCTAACTTGACCGTCGGAGCCCGCTCCCGGGGCACAGTCCCTGGGGCGGCTCTAACGGGTTTGCACTGTGATATCCAGATCTCCGCCGCAGCAGAAGACCAGAAGACCCGTTGGAGACGGATGTCGCATCTTGGTGTATTCCAAGACTCAGGAGCAGCATGGGGAGCACCTGAGGGAGGTGCTAGAGACCTTGAGGAGGGAGAGACTTTTCGTAAATTTCTCCAAGTGTGAGTTCTGGTTGTTGGATTAGGTGTCTAAGCCCATAACTATTATTGGTATGTATTCGACCCGAGAGTAGCATGGTCCATTTGGGTTGCATATCATCAGGACAATTTGTTAGGATGGACTTTTGAGAGAAGGTTATTTATGGTTTATTAATATATTATAAGTAATAATATATTAATATGAAATCATATGTTTTAATTAGTAGTGATCAAGAATTAATTTGGAATTAATTTAGTGGTCGAAAGAGACTAATTAAATCTATGGGGACTAATTATGATAATTAGTTATATTTATATGTGTTAGGCTTATGATCCATGTTGGACCAAGTTTATGTATGGATACATAAAGAGTTGGGCCACATGAACCATGGATCATAAAACCCATGGGTATGGATTTGGGTTATATCCATGACCCTAGAAATCCCACATATAAATAGATACTTCATTGCCCAAAATCGCCACTTGTATCTTTTTAGAGTTCATGGTGTCTTTTGTGTGCATGGAATTCTCTCTCAAGTTCATCCTTTGTCCATGGTGTGTTGTGATTCCATTTGAGGCTTCCACACTATTGGGGCTAAGCTCTTTAAGGCCAAATACACCAAGAATTCAAGCTCCATCAAAAGGTATGTCATGCTAACTAGTATATTATAATTTTATGTTAAATGCATGCTAGTTGTAAGATTAATACCTTGGAAACCATTTGCATGTATAATTAGTGAAAACATAGATCCAAGGTATTTAGGGTTGTATGTGCACCATAGGATGTTGTAGTATACCAAAACCCAACAGTGGTGTCAGAGCCATGGGTTGTTTTCAATTATACTTGATGCAAGTTGCTGAAAAAAAAACTGAAAAAAATCGAATTTTTTGCTGTCGGGACAGCAGACTCGACGAGTCCATGAGCAAATTCATCCAACTCGTCGAGTTGGTTCATGCACTCGACGAGTTGGACCCCCTGACAGCTTATCTTCGAGTTTTTTGGCCTGTTTTGGATTAGAATCATTACCGCAAAGTGTTTTTGTTCATAAAATTTGTTTTTTGATACTATGGTAATGTTTATTCTCATCCAAATAAAGGATAATAATCAAAGTTTCAAGTTTTATACATGTTTATATGATGCTTGAAAAATGTTGATTATGAATGTTCATGTTTATGAGTTTGTTTAGATTAATAGGAAAAATTATGAGATAGTTGTTTTCAATCCAAATTAATCTTGAAGTTCTTCATAATATGTGTTTTTGTAACTTGTCCTCAAGTTACATGAAAAGTCACATTTATGAATTTTAAAACCCATAAAAATTCCATAAGTTATGAAAAAATGAAGAGTCACATTTTTAATGCTTTTAAAGTCTTCCATAACTTGTCTACAAGTTATGGAACTTGAAGGGTTTTTTCCATTAAACCACTTTAAAATTCATAAGTTATGGAAACCATAAGTTTTTTGAATTGTTCAAAACTTGTCCTCAAGTTTTGGAATTTGTAAAGTCAAACCCCATATACACTTTAATTCCAAACCCAAGAATTTTAAAAGTTAAAGTTCAAACTTTATGGACTTCATTAAATTAATTAAAGTGTCTAATTAAAAGAGTTAATAATTCCATAAAGACATGGTTTAAGTTTAATTAAATTAAGAGTATAGTTTAATTAATAGATTAAACCACCAAGTATTTTAAATGTTTAAAATACACCCTTATACTATTATAATATTAATAGTTAATACTTATATATATATATATATATATATATATATATATATATGTATAAGAACAAAGTCAGTCTTACCGTTAGTAGGCCTCATTCACGAAGCCGATCTATAAGGGGGGTATAAGGTTACTGCCTATAAAATGGCAGTTTAATGGGTGTCCACTCTCACCCACCGCTTCCTTGACCGGTGGAGGGTCGTTAGCCGAACGGGTAGGACAAGGACTATAATTCTCCCTTCATTAAAAGTATTAATGATAAATACTAAGTAACTAAACCTTTTATAAATACTTAATCTTAGTTACTTAGGAAAAAGTGAATAAGGTGCTAATCCATGAAATTACACTTTGCACTTTGTTTAAGTCGGTTAGTGGAGCGTGTGTGGTTAACCGGCACACTAACTCGTATTTAACAAGGTAGGCAAAGGGTAACCTAATGTTTATCATAGTATCGATGGAGCGTGTGTGGTTAACCGACACATCGATTGAGGGGTAAACACTTAAGGGTACCAAGTAATTTGCATGGTTACTTCACACCTTGTTTTGTGATCCTCGGCATCCCAGTCACAAAACCTGAAGGGCACACTCGAGATTGAAACATGCCATTGAACAGTTCAATGAATCTCAAAGATCTAGGAGTTTCAAAAACCAATTAAAACCTAATAATATATATTTTGTTTTCATGGTGGAAATTGGTGAATCGTCATTCGCCTACCTTCAAATATTTTATAGCTTGGATTACGGCATCCCTCTTCCGAGTTATAAAAGTATTGTGTTGGGTCCTAGCCTTAATATTTCATATTGGGTGTTATATTAAGGACTTTAAATAAACTATCTTGAGTATCTCCAAAAGATGTCTGGTTTAGACATTTATGATCTTCCCAAATCTCTTGAAACAAGCTTTCCTAAATGAAGATGATGTCCCATGGAAATCATACTTCTTTCACCTCCTCCAATTATTCTCCCCAACCCACAAGTTCCTGAAAAGTTTAAGGTC